GTGACAAAACAGCCACCAACATGTTTCCATGGCCTCTGAGACCATACATTTAGGTGGTCTACTTTCCAGGCAGTTTCTCAACATGGAATTCCTGTCCAACAGAGGAAGACAGTCCAGATTCTCCAAGTTCAGTTCTGGAATTTTCACTCGGTTTTAGCTTGGGCCACTATGCAGGTAATTTCCACTCATGAAATTCAACTATGTAAATAAAGGCCATGCAAATAGGGCAGTCTAGACTACCCACTCATAGGTCATTGACAGAGACATACTTTTCAGGGTTAAAAGACACCATCATGACTGTGTCTTCTAGAGTTCTATGACTTCGGTTAGACCATGTTATAGATTTCTCTGTTTTGGGAATTTACAGGCCAGATTTTGAAAGTGAATGATTCTATCTCTTAATCATGAACTTGTTGCCAGAAGAAGGTAATGTTACTTAAGATAATTATCTTTAAACACATATGGGTGCTTTTTATTTTGAATGTAAATTACTATGTACATTTTCATATTTTGAAAGATAGTAGTAACAGTTGAAATAAAATCATAAACTGTGGGAAAAAGCATGCAGGGAGGGGGCGGTCCCACAGTAGCAACCCTCAGACAGGCATCAGCAGCAGAGTCCCAGGGCTTACACACCCGAAGGTTGTCACATACTCAAGAAGGTCTAGGTTGCCACATACTCAAGAAGGTCTAGGGTTCCAGAGGCTGGAAGCTTGTCAGTTGCAGGCCCCAGAAGACACGTGGATTGGGTTTCCATGACGTAGTATATTGTTCACAGCATGATAGTTGGATCTAGTTGTGCGTGAGCCCCCCCCCCACCAAAAGCCATGAGAAGGCTGGCTTAAATAGGGAGAGGAAAAAGGGGAGGGAATAACTTAACTAGCTATGGCCCTGGCCTTTAGATAACTCATTAATATGTAAATCTCTCAAGGATGCAGTCTATTAGTCATGCCCTCTACCTGTGTCCTACATGACTGAACAGGGAAGGTCAAATGATGATTAGACCACGTGTCAGGGCCCTGGGTTCTGGGGGTCGGGGGGTGGCTGAACACCTGCCGTTTCTACCGTGGAGTCTCAGGTTCTAGACCCATGCCAACCCAAGAACCAAGATACCCTTCCACGGCCCGACAATAAATGTTTTTAAAATTTTGATGATTAGGACTGGAGAACTGACTTGGTACTTAGAGGCACTGTGGGTGGCTCTTGCAGATGACCCAGGTTTGGATGCCAGCACCCACCTGGATAAGAAGTCCTGCAAAGGGAGCTCACAATTGTCTGTAACTAACTTTTAAAAATTAATTAAAGGCTTTATATGTTTTGTAATGCTCAATAACAATATGCCCATACAAAGAGAGTTGTTTCCCAATTAGCTAACCTAAATATAAGTTGTTATCCACGACTGCTCTCCATACCTACATGGCTCTCTATGGATCCTACATCGCTACTCTCCCTAGCTTCTCCTCTTCCTCTCCTTACTCCTCCCACCTTAGCTCCTCCTACAGACATCTTTTTAAATACTGTATGCTAATTTTAAAATATTCTATACTTTGAACCATGCTTGCTGATCTTGATTTCTTTATTATCTGAGGATTTACTCAAAGGTTTCCATGTTTATATAACACGATAATCAAAAGTCTTGAAGGATGCATTCTTAGTCCCAATTCCATTGACTAATTAGCTTTGAAGTTGTTCTATTTCTTCCTCCTCAATCTTCTTAACTTAAAATAGTAAACTTGAAGTCATATTAACTTTTGAGAAACATTATGAGTTGAATTTTTAGTGATATTAAAATAGTAAGCCTAATGCTTCATAAAGAGTTAAGTATAGACCTGTAGACCATTTCTACTACCGCTTTGCTATCATGAGTGCTAAAAGTAGGCATAGTTAGTATTTACAAGTTCTCATTTATTTCCTTTGACTTTTTGCATAATACTATATATTCCCTTTTGTTGGATATTAGTTGGGATTTATTATTTAATCAATCTTCCAACTTTGAAAATGAAACATGGTTTCTGGATGAGTCTTTTCATCATATATATATATATATATATATATATATATATATATATATATACAAAAAAATCTGAACTCTGTCATGGATCTCCAACAAGCAGTATGTCTCAGTCCTTCATCATCACTAATGCAAAAGTTTTCCAGACATAATGGTGTCATAAACATGCCCACTGGAAATAGGACCCAATTAACAAATAATCATTATCTATTTACCAGCAGCAAAGTGAAGAATGGGTGGAGAAACACTTGGGGGGAATGGGGGGTATCTTTAGTTCAATGGTTTTTTGGCGTCATTCCTAGTTGTACTGACGAACAAATTCTATTCTATTATTTTCCTTCAAGGTAGACAGACTAATTTTGGAGCTGAGGATTATAACAATGTCATTGGAACCTCAGCAAAGATCTCTAACAGAAAGAGACTAAGAGGAAAGGCATCTCATTGCCTGTAATAGCTTTTGTTTATCTGTGTCCCCCCCCCCCCCCCCAGCCTTTTCAAACCTCTCTAAAGGAAGCCTTGCAAATAGAAGTCAGAAGCAAATGAAAATGGGCTTTCTAATTCTCCCTTTTTATGATTCAGAAGCTCCAACTGACCCTCCTCAATCTGGGCTTCCTTTTTAACATTAATTACCTTGTTATCTGAGAGATGCAGCAGCTCCCCTGTCTGCTTAGGAAGAGTGCCAGCAGGGCAACAGTTGGAAGTGAATTACTATGATTGTTTGGGGCTTTAGAAAGCTGGCCCTGCTGTCTATCTTCTCAGACTCCAACTAGAGTCACTTGGGTATGTTTTCTAATTCAGTATTTCTGTGTCCACTGTCCAGTAAACCTATGTTTATACAGTATGTATATAACCAATTATACTGTGGCTTGGGGCAATGTCTCTTCTGGATTCTTCACACGCCAATGATTACAACACCTGGTGTAGGGCTCCTGGGCATGCCCTCAGTCAAGAGGTAAAGGAGGTTTAGTCCATTTGCCCATCAATTCCTTCTTATTCAGATGACTGTCTATGAGCCCTTGACTAATCAGGAATCTTACTTTGCATTGCCTAATCTTAACATCTCTCCACTTACCGGAGAATAGAGCTTCCTGAGCAAGTGTGTTAAGATTCCAAAGCACTAGCAGGATAGTGAAGTGAGCACACCCAGTCCATTTACTTAGCTTGATTATTTTGACTGCATCCATTTGTCACTCAAGCTTAAGGCCAGTTTGGCCAATTTGATTAAATTGACTGGTTCTTTCACTGAAGTGACCAGTCAATGCTAACAAATTGTTTGTGTTTGTAGAAACTCATTAGGCTTTATCTCCTGCATTGTGTCTGCAATAGATACAGAATCAAGAATTTCAGACAGACTCTTTGTTTAGCTTGTATGGCAAGGGGTGTGGATAAAAGGTATCTAGAATTTCATAGATTTGGGATAAGAAAAATAACTATTATTGATTTGGACTACTGCTTTGTCCATAGGTATTAATTATCATCAAGACAATCATGTTTATAACATCTTGTTTTCTTGGAAGTATTTATTTTAATTCATGTTTGTTTTGCACTTGGTGCTCTGGCTAGTCAATTAGTGTGTAAGCATGAGGAGAGTGATGTTTACACCAAGTGTCATGCAAATTATTTATTTCAAGAATGAAAAACTGCTTTCTTGCTAAAGGGGCAGTACTGACCATCATCATAATTCAGTATTTGATATTCACTTCTTTCAAACTTCCAGTTTGCTTTCCCAAGGGACTCACATCTTCAAAACTGTAATGATAATATGGTGTAAGAGTTGGTAGCTTTTTAACTTTCTAGAAAATTAAGCTTTTGTGTTGGGACCAAGAAACATTTTCAAACACTGGCTGCATTCATCACAAGGAATAATTGATAAGAATGAATTAAAGGGTGAGCATCACACCATTTTGTGCTATTTTTCATTTGAAATAAATTATTCTTTTCTTGCTGCCTGTTTTTTAGCAGAATAAGGCATGGCGTATCTATTCAGCATCTCTGGAGGAAAAACATGCACACTGATTTAAGCACAAGAAACTTTCCTGATCTGGTTTATAGTGCTCACAAAGATAATAGAATAGTGAGAATAAATAGGCAGGTAAGTTCCAGGTAAGGTTTCAGGTAGCTAGACACAGTGTTGAGCTGTTAAGGTATACATTACTGTAATAAATATATGACCTGCTTTTCCAGTGGATTTTAGATTCTAGTTGTACCAAAATAATGTATTATAAGAATGGAGATAATTCCCAACACCTTACTAGATGATTACAAAAATAGTAAAAGAATAGTATTTGACTATTGAATAGAAAGACATACTAAATTCTCGTTCTACATGGAACTAGAAAAAAGTCTTGAGTGGATATATTTAATATTTTCTAAATTGAGTTTGATTCTCTCTACCTTTCTATCTGTTATCAATCTATCTATCTATCTATCTATCTATCTATCTATCTATCTATCTATCATATATATATATATATATATATATATATATATATATATATATGTGAGTGTGTGTGTGTGTGTTATGTGTATGTGACCTCTTTCTTAGAGAATTAATAAGAAATGATTTATGTACATAAAATTTTAATCACATTTAACTGTGGCCCTATAGTTTGCTAAGAGTAAAGATAAGGCTTCAAGAAGTTTTCTTAGCTTTGAAAACCCTAAATTGAGGCTGTAGTTTGAGAGGAAGAACATCTTTATATACTATGCCTCATATTCTGCCTTTAAGAAAGCAACTGCCACATAATATTAATGATATGTGATGACTGATATATGATAGTAATGTTCCTGGAGACCTCTGTACCTTAGGAACCTGAACATTCTGTCTTATGGAAAGACAAAAGAATCGCTCCTGTGTTAGCTATTTTTCCATTGTTATAAATAGGCACTGTGTCTAAGACAACTATTATTAGAGAAAGAATTGCACTGTGGACTCACTTACTGTTTCTGATGTTTAGTCCATTGTCATCATATCAAGGAGCATGGCAACATGGAGGTAGGTCCTGGATCAGTACAGCTATCTTTTTATTACCAGGCAGAAATAGACACTCTAGGCTTGGCATGAGCTTTTGAAATGTCATAGCCCACCCCTGGTGACACACTTTCTCTAAAAAGGCCACACCTCCCAATCCTTTTAATCCTATCAAATAGTGTCACTCCCTGCTAAAAAAAAAGCATTATAATGTGTAAGCGTAAGCAGACCATTCCTATTCAAACCACCATATCTCCCAAGGATGAAATATGTCATTAACGAAATAGTAAATCCCTATGTTATCATTGCTATGTATTAGCATGATGGTAACTGATGAGAGGCATGATGGTAACTGATGAGATGCAAGATGAGTGTGGAACTTGGATTTATCTTGAATGACGTTGTGAGGAGTTTGGCTAAAGAGCTTAAGATGACCATGGGGCTTGTTTTATTCTCAATAATGGAATGTGAAGTCATATTTGTCTCCTGAAGGCTTAGTATCTAGACAGTAATACTATTAGGAGTCATGTGATTGTAAGAGGTGAGGTATAGTTTGTAGACTTCTGGTCATTGGAGAATTCCCTTTAAGGGAATAGTGTAAGGGTTTGTTCTAATGCTAAAGTCCTCTTCCCCAATTGGTTCTTGAACCATTAATAAAGATGGTAGTAGCTAATGAGTTGGGCAGTATAGGTAAGACTTTCAGGTACTCCCAGGCAAGCTAGCAAATACAGAGGAGAGAGGAATTTCACCATGCTTCAGAGGAAGAAAAAGTGATCACCCATGTGAGATCTTGGGTGGAGCAGCCAATGGCTGTTTCCCCAGGTTAGACATTAGAAACATAACTAAAGCTGAGGGAAGTTTTTGGTTGCTGAATAAAGTAACTGAGCAACTAAAATTGAGGGCAGATTTAGGATGCTGAGCTAAGAATACTGGGAAGAACATGCTACAGGAGATTTGAAGTGCCCAGCAATTGAGCCATAAGGGAAGTTGAAAAAATAAGTTAGTGTGTGTGTGTGTGTGTGTGTGTGTGTGTGTGTGTGTGTGTTTCATCCATGGATCCAAGGGAACCTGGATGGGGCTGGTAGCATGGTCCTCCCAGAGCTTAAAGCAGGGGTAGCAAAAACTACATGGTACAGAATAGTAGAACTTAATCTCTCCCCTCCTCTAGCAATTTGCATGTTAGCACCAAGTTAGACAATTTCCCAGTAGAGGGATGCTATCATGCACCACTTGCAGTTGATACAATTACAATGTTACTGACCAGTACTGGCCTGAAACTGCTAAAACTTGAATTTATATGCAATTACAATGTTACTGACCAGTACTGGCCTGAAACTGCTAAAACTTGAATTTATAAGACCTGTTCACTTTCATTAGTATTTATTACAAAAATGGAAAATTGATTAAAAATGATAATAGCTGCTTGAGAAGCAATGACGTTGAGAAAGAAACTGCTAGTAAGATCTCTGAGAGGCTATCATATGTATTCACTGCATTTCCTTTAAAACCAAACATTTCAGCTTTTTTATTTGTTTTTTTGTTTTTTTGTTTGTTTGTTTGTTTGTTTTTCAGTCATGATTTCTCTGTGTAGTCTTGGCTGTCCTGGAACTCAATCTCATAGATCTGCCTGCCTCTGACTCTTGAGTGCTGGGATTAAAGACATGTGCCACTATGACCTCAATTTTTTTTTTTTTTTTTTTAGATTCTGACTTCTTGAGAGATGCAATTTTGTTTATCTTAAATGCCTCATTTTGTTTTATTGGTGCTTTAAGTCTTAAACGTCTACATCCCTGCTGGCATTTGTCTATTCTCTCTTCAGAATGAAGTCTCCGTAGTGATCTTCCTGGCACTTGTGTGCTTCTTCCAACACATCAGGCGCCACAGTGTCTTCTTTAGAATTCACTGACTTAATGACACACTTTGTCAGGTCTGCATAACATTTTCTTTCAGTCAGGTATGGAATTACAAATAAGTTCTTGTAAGAAAAGGAATATAAAATTCACTGAAGATAATGCTGGCATTGAAATCTGAAACTTCATTTTAAAAATAGGTTTTACAGTAAAATTCATGGCAAAAACAGGATATTAATGGTGATTTGAACGAGAATGGCTCCCACAGATTTATCTGTTTAAATACTTGACCCCCATTTGGTCGAAGCATTTTGACATATGGCCTTGTTGGAAGAGGAGTATCATGGGGTGGCATAGGTTTTGAGGTTTATAGTACTCATCATATTTTAGTTAACTTTCCTTGTCTTGTCGATCAGTCTCTTCACTATCTGCTGGTTTTCCCATCATTTTGTCCGGTTCCCAACATGACCTCCTCCTCTCTCTCTGAAACCATGAACACAATTAAATATTTTTCTTTTAAAATTACCTCAGTCACAGCATTTATCAAGCAGTAGAAAACTAATTAAAGCAACATTACCTGACAAATATACTCTCAGACTACTTTTCTATTTTTAATATTTTTTCTCTGAATTAACAGAGGTACATTTTGCCTCAAAGGACACAAGTTTATTCATCTTTTTATTGTATTTTAAAAGAATACTTTATTCAAAGTATTGTTTTAGCACTTATAGGTATAGCAATCTATATATGAACAGCCTTGGTTGATTCATGGACTTTTCTATAATCAACATAAAGATATGTTGTTCAAACATTAAGAGGTCAATCCCAGGTCTGTCTGCTGAACTATAATTTCATCTCATTTATCAAACAGTGTTTACTGAGTTTATAACACTCAGTTGTAGAAAAATCAATAAAGGAATTAAAATTCACTTGAGCCTTGGAATGATTCACAAATCTCCAAGTACATTGCTATACATTCCAAGTGTGTGAAATATTCTTCTTAAAAATTTGTATACTGTTCTCTTTCACCCTAAATCATTTTTTATTTGAGTTCAAATTAGTTATTTAATACTAAGAAATAAGAGAAGACACCTCCCTCTTAGATTTTTATAAATAAAATAACCACCTGATTTATTGGCGGGCACCAATACCAGAATATTTTTTATGAAAGCAGACAATAAACCATATTCAGAATAAAATGGTAATAAACTAAGATTAACAATGGCAAATTAGAATGTTGTCACCTGATTCTAGCAAAAAATTACTATAATGGATTATTTTTAAATTTTCATGCAGTATATTTTCCAATCATAGAGTTTCTAATTCACCAATCACTTCCCAATCTTCCCCTGCTCTCTACCCATGCAACTTCTAGTTCTTTCTGTCTCTTTAAAAACAACAACAACAAAAAAAACCTCACAATATAACAACAAAAACCAAACAAACAAAAAGGAAATACAACAACAACGAAAAAAACTCACAATATAACAACAAAAACCAAACAAACAAAAAGGAAATACAACAACAACGAAAATAGCCTATACAAACCAACATAGAAAATCTATTTCTGTTGAGTCCTGCTCTGGAATGTTGTTGATTCAGTGCTGAAAGAAGAAAACAAAATGGACGAATTTCTGGCCCAGGGATCCCCAATCCAAGAGCTCTGGACCCCCTCGGAAGCAGAGTGAGAATTCCCCATGCTGGGCGGGGCCCCATTGTTGCAGGGAATAAACTCAGCCAAGATCTCGTGTGTGCCCCTGCCATGATGAGCTATAATCCCAGCCTACTGCATTATGGCAGACGCACGGACCCACAACACAACAGAGATTCATGTCCATGTATGGGCCTACATCGTTCCCTACAGGTGGCAGAGGATTCCAGCAAAGCCAGCTCCAAGAGTACCCCCGCTGGTGCCCGCCAAGACCCTCTCCACGGAACCATGAGTAACCCCAGCCTAGTTCACAGACTAGGCAGGCCTCTCTCTGTCTCCCTTTTTCTTTCTTTCTCTTTCCACGTGTTTTGGGCCAGCGTTTTTCTCTCTGACTCCTAGCTACCATTAGCTCCTGCCTGGCTCAAAAGACTAGGTCTATCTCTCCCTCTCTCTCCTCCACATGTCTCAAGGGCAAGATGGCAGCTCTCTAGCCTCCACTCTGCCCATCCCCTGGCTCCACAGAGAGGGCGCCTTCACAGCGAACAACTATCTTCCAGGACACAGTGCCTGCAATGACTCTTGTTCAAAGACTCTTTCCCTTGGTTTTGAGCTCTCAGGAGTGCCTACTTCAGTCTCCCAGGAACTGCCAGCTACAAGTCAGCCTCCACATGTCTCCCCGCCATGGCTCAGTTTTACACAGCCTTTTACTCCTTCTGACTCTTCTATCAAACACCTACGTTTCTTGCTTTGAGCTTTTCTTCAAGGTTAGCTTTTCTCCTCTACAATTAAGATGCCTAAAAAAAGGGGGGGGGGAATTCCTTGGCCTCTCTGCTAGAACACCAAGCCACCACGTGGTAGCCCGGTCACCACATGGCAGAGCAGGCCCCTCCTCCATTACTTCTAAATCCACCATTAACCTTTTCACCCCAACAGGAATAATTGCAACAGTGTTCATGCTTTCCTGCCATTAATGCCTTTTCCCCCAACAGGAATGCCTAAAACAACAGTGTTCATGCTTTTCAACCCAAAATTTTTTGCTTTTTGTTTAAATGTCTCCTTTTCTTTCTAACACTCGTGATATATTCCCAACATTTTTTTTCAATTTTTAAGACTTCTTCAAGGTTCAAAGGTCATCTAATTTATTTCCACAGGTTAAATCAACATGCTGATCACCATCTTTCAGCTCTTAATTAACAACTAGTTTCCTTTTACAGACAAATTGTTGCTGGCTACATAATTAAAATGATGTTTTTCTTCCTCACCCATCCAAAACAGACTCAAAGGTGACTTCTAAGACTAAAATTTCCTCAAAAACCTTTGCCTTTCTAGGATCTCAATGGCACACCATGACATGCCTGATCCCAAGTAGCCTAACGCTTACTACACACCCTTTGCAGACATCCCCCTGCTTGGGTGCTGCTTCCCTGTTGTGATTACAGGTGCTCCCACAAGTCCAGTGGAGACAACGTCACCTCCTAGAACCTGCCTAAGAGGCCATGCTGTCTTCTTGCAGCCACACAACCTGACTGCAGATTCCAGAGACATGCTGATATCCAGAGACATGCCAAGATCCAGAGATGCTCACTGAGTGCTACGGACAGATTCAGATCTTCCAGCTACAGTTGAACTCTCTTGCCAAAGTCGAATAGCTAAAGTTACATGTTAGTGAGAAAAACGTAATGTCTATCTAGATTAGTCAGATATTATTACCCTCAAACTGAACCACCTGAATTCAAGTGATTCAATGATCCCTTGCCTTCCCTACCCCCCCCCAACTCCCCTTACTCTGTGACTTAATTGTGCTAACCCCTCTGGCCTACATAGTGCTTTATTTTGGCTTCCTCATTCAAAATTTTCACCACAGTGTTCCCCCCCCCCTTTTTTTAAAAAAGTAAAGGGGAGATGTGGGACTGCATAAGGGTATTGTGGGTCATGGTTGGAGTTCAGCGCACCTCAAGAACCCAGGGTCCTGAAAAGCAGTCTAGTCTCCTTAAAACTCAGTTACGTAGGCCTGCCATTACAGCCCTTGCCAAAGTGCACAGGTAGGGGGCGTGACTAGAGGCCTCAGGCTCTAGGGATTTACATACTAATGAAGGCCAGAGGGCAGAGCAAATTAAGCATGTCTCCCCAGATCCTCCCCTGATCCTCCCCAGATCCTCCCCCTTTCTCCCTCCCTATATAACTCGGGACTGCCCTGAGTCTTACGGGGCATACTTCCAGATTCATCCACCATCCATCATGACAATAAACCCTTTTGGAACCAAGGACTTCCTTGTGTCATTGGGGCCTGACGCTGCCAAATCCTCCAGGCTGCTGGATCCATAGACATTCCTCCTGCATGTGGGACCAGCTGCAGCATGGAAACCCCCAGGGACACCACTGCTGCCCCCTGTAATTTTTCCCCACAGGATTCTACTTGGGATATTTTTGCTAAGAAAAGAAAGGAAAAATTGCTCATGTTTTGAAATATTTAATGATGTCTCCCTCCAGATGCCTAGTTGGTTCTTGACTGTAACTCAACCAATGCAGTTCAGGCATCTAAAGCCTCTTCAATAAACTGCAGTCATCATTAGCTAAGAAGATACCATAGCCCCTTTTATCTTGTTGAGTTGACTCTTTTTCCCCAATGTTTCCCTGGTGAGCCTAGGCTCATTAATGTCTAGTAACTAGATGATCAGCTAAGTACTACTAATATGATCTATTTACTCTATGGAAATATATGCTTTTCTTTGCAGAGCCATCACTGTAGATCCTAATTATTTTTCTACCATGAATGTAGTTTGAAATTGTACACTATGGAATGATAAAGTTCATACAATATTTGAAGTTTTAATTTTTCTCTTTTATTTTAAATCCTGAGATTTCTAGGAGGTTCTATAAACAAAACATTTCAGCCCTTTAAATTGGAACACTGCAAGTTAAGTAGAAGGCTTACTAGTGTATTATTGTTAATTCAGATATTAAAATGTTGCCTTTAAATTTGGTTCATAGGTATCTATTCTGAATTCACTGATGCTCTTCATCTAGAGGTAGAGTTTTGTGAAATCTCCCCAAATTCTGTTGTCATGTCTTCTGGTGTGGTCATTATGCAGATATTATTTTGGCAACTATTTTGTTGAGAATCCATATCTTCCCCCATCATATAAAGTAGACATTATTTTACAGCACATGTCTCTATCCACTGGTTCTTACAATCATTTTGCTCCCTCTTCTGTAATGTTCCCCTGAATGTTATGTGTATAATCTGTTTTATATATCCCCCAAATTGAGTTATGCATCCTATTGTTGCTTATTTCAAACAACTGTAGATATTTGTAATGTTCCTCTCATCTGCTGGAAAGAGAAACATCTCAAATGAGGGATAATTTCTATACTTACCTGTGGGTATATGCATACATATTTGTAATATAGTTAGAAATTATCTGGGTTTAGACATTTTTCAATAACAAATTCCTCTTTAGGATTTTTTGGTGTACTTTTTTCTTATGCTCATAAACCATTAATAAGAAAGATATTAATTTTCAAGTGTCTTAATAAACTCAGAAAGCAAATGATGGTAAGTGTGCAAGAGCCTAAAGTGGTAGAATCACTTGTTTTCATCTTTTTAGAAGAGTTACTTATTTAACATGGAAAGGAAATACAGACAGCATGGGGGGAACTGGATTTTCAGGATTTTACTATCAGTGAAAAGCTACCTAAACAAATCAGTTCCAGACATCTTCATCTCAGCATCTTCAATGTCCCTGGGATCCCAGAAGTGTTCAAATGAATCTACAGTCTTGTCTATGTTAGACCTGAGTTAAGTGCTACTCAATAATTACTGAAATCACTAGTTGATTGATCTATAATTTGAGCAGCTTTTTTTCTCATTCTTGCTTCACTACAGCTGCCTCTTTATTTGAAAGGTTGGATTATCTTGTCTTTAGCATTACCAGCATTTTATAAAAATAGAGCCAAATCAGTTTTGTTCACTGTTAGAATTTTAGCAACTGAGAACACACAGTAGAAGGATATTAAATATAGATTTACAAAATTCAGGAATTAATGGGAAAATGAGTATAAACACAGTGGAGCACAAATTTTGTTTTATTTTGCCTTCTACACACACAACAGAAAAAAAACAAACCTCGAAATTTAGGTAGTACACAAAATATCAACTTCTGACAACTTACAAATACTATTCCTTCCCCTGTAAACTAAATCTTTTTCTCAGGCTTGCTTGCTTGCTTGCTTGCTTTCATACTCACACACAAACAATTGGATTTTCTTGATTTCTGACTCCAATAGAATCAGGTCAGCAGTGAGGACAGAAGCAATAAATCTCTTTATCTCTGTTGACTTTTATAGAACTGACATCTCTTAAAATATTTTTCTTGACTTTGGTGCTTTTTTACTGACTGATTAGGCAGTAGAGCACAGCAGTCAATTGAATCTCCCCAAATCTAATATTAAAAACGGAAAAGGAAAGACCTGAGGGGCAACAAAATATGTGAACGGCGATGAAGAAGGTCCAATAATTCCTTTCCCCCAAATCAGAAATCGCATTTAAGTGTTAGCCTTTCTGTCGGCCCAAGTTACTGTCTTTGCTGCTCTGACATTCTCTGCTTCCCATTCAGACAGCAGTTCATTGTTTTATGTTGGCAAGACATTCAAGTCTTGAAAATTGAGGGATGATAAATGGTTTAAAAAATAAAACATGCATACCTAATGGGAGATTGGAAGGAAAACATTTCTACTTTGTGGTGGAACCAACAAGTTAGCTAAGATAATGGAAAATAGGCAGCAGAAAGTGTTATTTGGATGGTAAGGTACTTTGAGATTGGGACATTCTAGTATTGGGAGAGTGAATAATGAGAACAACAGACAGTCTCAAGTTGGAGCAAAGCATCACAAGGGCTGTCATTCCCCTCCCCCAGGAAGTACAGATTCAGATGACACCAAGGGTGATCACTAAATTATGCTAAGATGCTTGATGTTACAATTAAATCTTCAAACGATACACAGAAGGATTTTCTAAACCATCCCTATAACATTTGTCATATCTTTATAAATAATTGCCAAAGTAGCCTTATTTAAATTACTGGAGAGTCCAACAAACAGAACTAATACATAGACAAGAAGGAAAAGAGCTATCTTCTGTTAACAGCTACCCGATATTGATACTAAGACATAAATACTGTATAACATTAAAAAAAAATGACAACTTCATCTTGAGATTTCTTAGATGAACTTCTAATTTCTTACATTATTCAATTAGTTCTTTACTCTGAAACCTTTTAACAGGGCTATAATGGGGCTGTCAAAGCACTTCCTAGCTTTTTTTTTATCTCATAAATACCCAAGGGTGCTTAGAAAGGAACCATAGAATTCACTTTCTGTGCCTATTATTCTATTGGCATTCCAAGAAATGGCCAGTAGGTGACTATGAAGAGACGTTAAGGCAGGAACCATAGATGAGAGAGAGAGAGAGTGGTAGAGAAATCCTTGAATAATCCCTTCCAAATGCATTACAAAATTTAGTTGTCAAAGAGAAGTAGTGGAAAGTGCCCCAGGTAAGGCCAACTACCCCATTAGTTAAGGACCATATGGTCCCTAGATTATCTGAAGGTGACTTTTGTTTCATTTTAGTATTAAACTATGAACTCCTGAGTGGAGATTTAAGATGCCAATGAGACATAATGTACATAGAGTTACCTGTGGCACTAAATACAACACAGAGAGCATGCACCACAAGCAATCCTGAAAACCTATGCTGTGTGATGATCTTTTCAACAGCATTCAAGTTGCTAAATTCTCCCTTTGCTCTGTCGTACTTCTACCCATAGAAGGATATGTTCTCCTAGCCAAGTGTATTTTTCTATTTTTCTCCTCAAACTGTGAAATTCTGTTCAAGACGTTTTGCTATGCCGCAAGACAGTGGAATGACTCTGTATATACCCAGAGAATCCTGATTTTAACTAATATCCAGATGGTTAAGAGGCGGCATTCCTTTATGAAAATAACTTGCATTTTACCCATTTTATGTTTGTCCTAGGAACGTTTTTATAAGTCTTCCCAGATTCAACTTTAACCTACAGAACAGGAAAGGTGAACATCATATAAAAGAAGCCACCAGTTGCTACTCCCAGATCCTCTGGCAGGTCTTCCACCTCTCTGACTCAGAGGCCAGCAGAGCTGCCTGGCCAGAGAGGGTGCTTGATCAGCTCCTAAGCAGCCTGTGGAGTGAGCTACAAGTGCTGGAGAGGACAAGAGAGCAGGACCAGTCCTGTCCACTGCCTTTTGCCCTGGCCATCCGTACCTACTTCCGAGGGTTCTTCCTCTATCTGGAGGGAAAGGCACACAGCCCTTGCTCCTGGGAGATTGTCAGAGTAGAAATCCAAGCGGCCCTTTCAGCATTCCCACTGTCTGGGAGAAGGAGCCCAAGAAGAGGAGAAGCTCCCTGCAGAAGGAATCTCTGCCCTCATGACAGCATGCTCTCTTTCTCAATTCAAAGCAGACACACAGATTCGGATTCGGCACCAGACGAAATGGGTCTGCATCGAAAAAGAAGACGGACTCTTGATTTCTTGCCCTGCTGGGCCTGCAGGAATCTTACTGTATATCATCCACTGTGAATGTCTGAAAGAAACCCTACCTTTGTGAAATTCTGTCGATCCCTGAATAAATCGATGATTTCAAAAAAAAAAAAAGATTCCAAGACACCTTACTTAAAACTAAGGCTGCCTACGTCAGTAAATAAATTTGCTATTAAACTGATTGTCATAGAAATAGATTTAGAGAATAGGTAGGCTTAGTCTTTTTTTCTCTAAATCTACTTTATTTAGGGTTCTTAAACACTTTAACCTCACTTCTAGCTTACCAATAGGGGGAGCAAAGAAAGACGGTTAATAGGGAAAGAGAGTTGTGGACCTGTTTAGGAGTACTTCTTTAGGGTGATTCCAATCTTCTTTCTCAGGATATCAGCAGTGAAGTCCAATAGTAAACACCAAACACAAGTCAGTATCAGCAATCCCGTCCTACATCAAACATCAAACACAAATGAGTAGCTGCAGCTCCATCCAGGAGAATCTGCAAGTGACAGATTCTAAGCTCCACTAAAGTGACATCAGAGAGTGTGTTTCTCTCTAAAAAGGAAAGACCAGCAAAAACCAGTGAAGCATTGCAAGGGTAGTGAAGACCACCAAAGTGTTGCAGAGAATAACAATAGAAGACTGTCCTCTTATTGTCTGTGAGGTTATATTTCTCTTCTTTCTGAACATTGCATTCCCTCTCAAGCATTCTCTCCCCAAAATGTCCTAGACCCTCTCACATGTCTACTTCAGCAAAATATCCTCTCATGTGTTTGCATCAGCAAAAACTCTCTCTCACAAGACAGCTTCCAGAAATATATCACGTGACACAACTCAATCTCCAAAGAAACCAGAAATTTCTACTTCAAGGACAGATTACTTCTTCTGAAATTTTTGACAGAAGGAACTTTTAATGTTTGATAATTCACAATCAAAGAGAGTTTGCTAATGCAAATTACAAGTGTTTAAAAAAACTTTTTATTAATACTTAGTCACTTATATTTACATCTATACTGTGATATGGTCTATGCTTGATAAAGAGAACTCAGTAGAAGAATTGAACCTAGAAAGACGTAGGAGGGAAAGAATCCAGAAAGACATATTCTTGTTGCTGCCTTGTATACAGCAAACAAATAAACAAACAACAACAATGAACCTCAGCTCTTGCTTCAAAGGGAATAAGAATTTTCTGGAGCAAATTCTGAGAGAACATAGCCTTGGAAACACAAGTTACTCTAGGTTTCATGTTCCAACTTGGAAGTGTTGTGATTGAGTTTTTATAGTAAGAAAGCAATGAAAGGTTTGAATCAAGGCAGTTTAAAAACACATTGGTGGAAACATTAAATGATCAATTAGAACACGTTGAGAAATCTCAGGTATACTGTCAGATGTTGTATGACAACTTTCATAGCCATTCTATCAGGAGGAGAATAGGAATTTGTTAATTTACTACATTCTAGAGGCTTCAATCTGTTTATTGAGATGGTAGGTCTGATGGTAGGTTAGCAAGAAATGGCTAAGTAGCTACAGATAACCCCAAAGAAATTGTGATTCATTTGATAACATTTCAAACCCTTCATCTATGTTTTATCAATCAACTTATGTAGTCAGCTACTTCCAGAAATTCTTCACAGTGTTATCAGTGTGCAAGCGTGTGTATGTGTGCGTGTTCCTAAACATACATGTATAATCTCATCAGTTGTTATAATGTTACTTGTGTGTATGTTTTCAGAAATGTCCATTTAATATTGAATAACCAATTGCTGTGCTCTTCCCACAGGAAGACTATTTCTACACCTCTCAGCATTCCTTAGTTGCCTGTAGTTCTTGATCTAGTGTTGAGAATTTCTGAGCTTTCCTCTGTCCATGGAAGCGCATCTATTGTTGCTGACCCTGATTGTAAAGCCATCATGTAAGACATCATGGGTATAGTTCCTCTGATATTTCTTGGAGACATACTCTCACAGGAGACTTCCTATTCCACTGGATTTTACAAGGTTTGCACTCATTCTTCCACAATGATGCCTGAGCCTTAGGTGGAGGTTGTGTTGCAGTCAGTAGGGAAACAATTAAGTGGAGCTTTATGCCCTCAAGAACTCTAGGGTGTACTATATTCTACTAACCTGCCTAGGTATCCAATAAGTTTCCTATTTCAAAACCAGTAACCTTGAGTTTTTAATCTCACAAACCTGGCTTAAGAAACCAGGAAAAGGAAAGGTTAGCAATAGAAAATTTTTGTTTCTATCTTATGCATGTGTCCTAGAAGTTAGACACTTAAATAAAAGGTAAACATAGCTGTACTTAAATCTTATGTTGGCATTTGCTGAATTCTATTTTTTTATTCTTACAACTGTGATACAAAAATGAGTTTAGAAAAAATATTCCAAAATCGTTTTTGCAGAAGTCTATCTGTGAAAATGTCAAAAGTATTTGAATTGTGCACTATTATAGGGAAGTTAATTTGTAGCAAGATTTTTTAGTTTTCTCAGTCTCCAATTTATAGTATTTTTGTGTTTCCCTTCAATTTTATATTACCATTGCAATTTTTAAATTAATTGCAAAGAGTGGCTCATGATACAATAATTGCAATGTTAATATTAAATTGAAATAAAATCACACTGTAGATAGTCATTATTCCTTGGACATTTGCATATATATTTGCATAATAAACATGTATTCTATGTTCCGTTGAGAAACAAGTGAGTAATAGTTGTCAAATTAAAGATTATAATCTTGGGAGGAAAAGTTACACAGTATAAATTACTGATGTCAATTTGTTATCTAAACTCATGACAAATGTTAACATTGAAGTATAGGTAAGTCATATTATATTTGTTTAGTTTTTAAACTGTTGAATACAATAGATATGCTTTTATTGATAGTATATTTTATAACAATTAGGATTCATATTACTGAAATGATCCTTACCACTTATCAGATTGTATATGCCATCAAAGTAAATATCCAATTTCCTTTTCTTGACAGATGAACTCTATTATACCAGATTCTTCCCCTAGCAATGCTCATGATTGTTGTTAATTTTAGCCTGCTAGCAATTAAGAATGCTAGTTTCTCACCATCTGCAGAAGAGCTATTCATTAGGTAGGCCACCAGGAGAAACAGACAAGTGTCTAAGGATAGATAATTGAAAGTCACTGCAATTCCACTCAAATGCTCTGCCCACCTGCCAAGCTCCTTGGCATAACAAAATTATCTTTTTCTGTCAATTTTTACTTTTCCAGTAGCTCAGGAGATTCTGAGACATTATCAAACTCCTAAACTCTTACAAATTAAGTCTGAGCACATCCAAGCACTCCGTTTCTCAGCAAAATTGACTCGTTTGCAAAATAAAAATAAAAATAAAATTTGCTTGACACTTCGGAGTGTCTTAAAGTAAACATGTAAATTAGAAACTTCTCTTTCACAGAGTTGCTTCGTTTTAAGGAGATGGAAGAAGCAGTGAGTCTAGAGCTATTTAAATGAGTTCCTCCTAAGTGGGACCCTGCCAAAAGTATCAACCCCTGGTCTCTGCTCTTTCTTTTGTCCCCTTCAACCTTTCTGTCATTGTGTTCTCTCCAAGTGTCCTGTTTATTCAGAATTTAGTCCAAGACCTGGCAGCGGGCAAGGCAATGGAATGGTCTTTCTCAGTGGTTAACATACCATAGTCTAGGTAGAATCTTATCGCTGTGCCCATGTCTTCTTGGAGATCTTGGGTTGGTGGGGGTGGGGAGTATCACTGTTAGGATTTCGGAGTCTCTGTCATAGTAAGCTTTAACATCTAACAAATGTTTGACAAGATTGAGAGCTAGTATCTATTAAACATATCTGAATTAAAAAAATCTCTGTTTGCTTTTTTTTAATTATTTGTTCAAGAATGTATCTAGCAAACAAAGAGAATATATTGTAACTTAATGACAGTAGCAAAAACAAGGCTAAACATAACATTAAGGGAGGGATCCTTAACCTTTTAATGTTGTAAATTTTTAAATTAGTATGAAAATTAATAATTTACAAAGTGGGATAAGAATCATATGAAAATCTTAACTGAAAAGTGTCTTTGCAGACCTTAAGTCAGGCTGTTCTAAAGTAAGAAGGCAGTGAAATGGGAACTGCCCATAACAAAGATGGTGGATAGTCATGAGACTGCCTTCAACCAAGATGGTACTGAAGTTATAACATGTCATGTGACTCTTAGCTAAGACTAAGAAGCTACCGAAGTAATAGTTCCACCTGTGGAGGAAATTCACATGTTTGTTATTCTTCAAATCGGAATGGCAGAAACATAGCTTTGTATCAGCAGAGGCAAATAAACATATAAAGACAAATACATATATTTTGCTGCTTTGTGCAGAGCAATAGTGTGGTGGGTCTGAGTGGTTCTCCTTCTCCCACTGTGCTGGCGCTTCCACAATAGAAACAAACAAGAGATGAAATTTCCCAGGAAGTAGAAATTTAAGACTATCCACTGAAACAAGCAGCTAGCAGTGGCAGTGGCAGTGGCTAGCAGGTTCCATGGGAGCACAGAGCTGCAGATAGAATTGGCAGAGTAAGTTAAGTCTCAAACAAGATCTGGAGACCACAATTAAGAGTTAAAGGGGTTAAAAATTTTGAGATTGGTGGGTGGAATTGTTTCTGTCTAATGAAAATAAAGGGACTAAGAGTGGTGCAGAGACTGCTCCACCTATGGATCCATCCCATTTGCAGACATCAAACCCAGACACTATTGCTGATGCCAAGAAGCACTTGCTGACAGGAGCCTGGTGTAGTGGTCCCCTGAGAGACTCTGCCAGAGTCTGACCAGTACAGATGCGGATGCTCACAGCCAACCATCTGACTGAGCACAAAGACCTCAAGGGAAGAGTTAGAGGAAGGACTGAAGGAGCTGAAGGGGATTGCAATTCCAATAGGAAGAACAATAGTATCAACTAACCAGACGCCCTTCCTCCAGAGCTCCCAGGGAATAAACCAGCAACCAAAAATTAGACATGGAGGGATCCCACAGCTCCAGTTGTAGATGTAGCAGAGGATTGCCTTATCTGGCATCA